GGGCGGCGGGAGCGGAACGGGGGGCGCGGGGCGGCGGCCCGGGGGCGGGCGGCGGACGGAGCCCCGCGGGGGAGAGGCCGGGGCCGCCCGCCGCGGGCCGGGGTCCGGCGGGAAGGGGCGGGCGGGTTGGGAGGGGGGATGGGGGGAGCCGCCCGGGGAAGGAGCGAGTGCCGCCGGCCCCGCGCCCGTCCGGGGGGCGAGCTAGGTGTCGGGGTGGCGGTGGCCGCGGTGGCGGCGGCAGCCCGGGCTCCGCTGGAGCCATTTTATGTTGCTTGGTCGGAAGGAGACGATGGTTGAAAAGCACTTGTCCCAGCCCCGCGGCAGCAGTCCGCCGGGCCCGGCCCGGAACTTTTCTGCAGCGAGCGAGGCAGTATTTATTTTACAAAGAAAACTCTCGCCCCCCTGTGTCCCTTCTCGTGCTTTCTGCACCTTGGCGGGCGGCTCGCTGCGGGACGGCTCGCTCCGGTTTGCAATAAGCAGTCACACGCACGGCCGATCCCATCGCCCCTCGGTCGCCGCTCCGTCCCCGGCGCACCCCCGGCCCCGACCCCCGCCCCGAGCGCCGGCGGCACAAACCCGGCGTCCGGCGGCAGGCGCGGCCCTGCTTGTGGCGCTCGGATCCATCATGGCTTCCCCTGCCTTTCTGCCTGCCCGCTCCTTGTGTTCCTCCTCCCTGTGGCCGCCCTGTTTATATAGAGCCATTGCCGCTCTCTAATATAGACTCTGCTAGGATGGGAAGGTGCTTTCCAGCCCCACGTCACCGCCTCTCCATTTAAACACCACATCAGCCTTTAAATAGGGAGAGAGCCGCCGAGAGCGGGCTGGGAGGTGCGTGCATCGCGGCGGAGGCTGCCGGCCGCGCTTTTTGTCGCTCTGGGTTTCTCCGGGTTTGTGCTCCTGCCTTGCTCCGTGCTCGGGGAGCGGCGGCGCTACCCGCGGCTCTCGGTGCCGGGTGGCTGTGCACTGCACGAAGAGGGCACCGCCATCCTCCCGGCCTTCTGAAAACGCTTACCTTTTTAATCTCTCCCCCCCCCCCCCCCCATTTTAATTTTTTTTTTTTTAATTAATTGTTAGTGTATGTGTCTTTTTATCCGTAGCGTGCAGCCCTCTGTACCCTTGTGGTCATCCAAGGAGTTTTGCTGCTGGATGAGGAAAGGAGAACTTAGGTGTTCTTACCCATTGTGGCAAGGAGAGATGCAGGAATTGTTTCATAGCATTTCGCCAGTGTCTGGTACAGATCTTGTACCAAAAGCAGCATTAATATTGAAGTTCTGTTTATTGGTCCTGGGCACAGATTGTGTGAATGATTGTTATGTGCTTCTGGTAACTGAAGTTGATGGGGCATACTGATGTATTGGAAGATTTTGGAATTTTCTCTATTATTTGAAGTAATTAGAATATTTTTAGTACTAGAGAGCAGTATATAAAAGCAAACGACACAGAGTTTCCTTTTTAAATCCAAAATCTTACCTGTAACCCACTCTCATTTGATTGCAAGGAAGTAGCATTGCTTTGCTATTTTATCAACTGTTCTGTAACAAAATGTGGGACAGCAGTGAGCCATTGCATGCAGGTCAGCTGCTGGTAGGATAGTTTCTGAATGTGCGTGATCCAAATCTGCTAGCTGTTCTACACACAAACTGCTAGCTTTCTTCTCTAACTGATAGCAAGGGCTCTTTGTCTCTACAGTAAGTTAGCAGTTTCATGTCTCTTTTTCTACCAAGTTATTACCTAATAGGTAACTACATCTCTGTATTGAATAATCTTCACAGCACTTATGAATGTCTTTGTTTCAACAACTTGCTTATCAGTGCTGCATCTCTGTGTTAGCATAGCATAAATTCTGCAAAGTGCTGCTGAAAGGTGCCTGTGTTTGATCACAGTGTTTAGAATAACCGGAACTTAAAATGAGCCCAACTTCTGTTGAGCTTAAATTCCAAGGAAAAAGTACAATTGTGCAGCACTCTGTAAAAATCAGTTCTTTTCTGTAGTAATGATAACCATACGTACCTCTGAGTTGCAGAAGATGAGCAAGAATGTGTGGAAGTACTGCAGCCAGCTGATAACTGCAGCAGGGCAGATTTTGGGCCTGGTGTGTCAGCATCTGATCAACTCTGTCCTTCCTAGGAAGGGATGCGTATAACATGGTAACAGTTTTATGTGGTATAAGGTTTTGCAGGTGACAAAGGTAATTAAGTTGTATAGGTGTGACGGGTGTCACATTTAATTGCTTACAGCATAGCTTTTATATGCTACTTCTTTTGCACTCTTCTTCAGTGTAATTGTGACTAAAAGTAGTTACCTTTGCAGTGTGGTGTTCTCATGTCACACAGCTCCCAGCTGTATTTCCACAGACAGGAGAAACAGATGGGTAACATTTCAGGGATAACTGCAGAAATAACTAGGAGAAAACTGCTGTCAGATGCATAACGCGTGCAGTGTGTATTCCTTTGTAACGTGTTGGTTGTTAGAAACCCAAACTGCCCAAATCCTAAGAGTTGTAACAGTAATTAGGGAGAGGTGCTGTTTTTTTCCCCTTGGAACTGATGAAATGTAGGAAGTGCAGCCCCCAAAGGCATGTGGCATTGCTTAAAATAGCTCCCTGCTTGCTCTTCTGATTTGGAGTGCGTGTAGCAGTCTGACCATGCTCAGAGTTTTCTTTACAAGATGTACGGAGAAAGTGAAATATAACCATTTCCGTATGTTCCCAGAGGGGGACATGAGATTTCAAATCTTTTCTATGTGTTTGTGGTTGCATCTAATAAATCAGGAATTTTAATTGTTGTCTTTAATCTATAGTAAGTGTTTGGAGTAGTGTTTATTGAAGAGTGATTTGAGTGTGTTTGCTCTTAAAAGGGCCTGAAGTTTACAGTAATGTGCTCTTTATGAGGGAGGCACTTTAATACAAACCAGATGAAAGCACGATTATTTTAATAGCAATCTTTTAAGTTTCTGTTATGTTCTCCTTGCTTTCTTTGATTGAGTGTGAAAATTTATGACAAAATGCAACTCGCAGGCCCACTGGGGGCTCATTTAGTAATTGCGTGCCCATGTTCAGCTTTTGAGTGAGCAGTGCATGGAATGAATGATGGTCGTTCAGCTCCAGGGATGTAGGTAGTTTGTATAAACAACTTGAGCATCTCATAAATAATACTTAGAGCCAACAATTACTGCCTATCTAAAAAAGTACACTGCACTTCCTTTTTAAAGGTTGAGGTTTACGTTCTTAAACTCCGTAATTTTATGTCTAGTTTTACATCTGTAGAAGTAGCATTTTATGCTGTTTTTCACCATTCTGCCATAGGCGGCTCTTGAGAAAAGCACCGCTGCTTCATTTATGGGTGTTCAGTACAGCTGTGCACAGCCAGGGTTTATCTGAGCATGATGGAAATGTATATGTGAAATCAGGAAGCACAGGGACTGAGCCACTATTTCATTTTAAAGTGTAGATAATTTCTTTGCTCCTTCTCCTACTAATCATATAACAGTGAGTGTACTGTATCTTGTGATACTGTGTGACCACAACAGAGCAGACTGCTGAGCTGTAGGGCCAATTTGCTGTGCCTGAATGTCAGTGTTTTTTCTCAGGGCTTTATATTCTGAGTGATACTTGTAAATACACCTCATGGAGACACCTGTCAGGAGGTGGTGACTGCTAGTAGAAATGAGGGCCTGATTGTGCTGAGTCTGCTTTAGTAATAAAACAGTAGATATCTGAAGGAGAAAATGCCATCTCTATTGTCCAGGAATTTCATGTGTAATTTCAGTTGTAAGGATGCACCACTGACTCAAGTGAAGCAACTCATGTACCTAAGGATAAGTGTATTTATTTGAGGAATGGTTTGGGCTTTAAGAAACAGATGCATTTAATACAATAAGAAACAATATGAATAGTAGGTCAAGTAGCATTTCTGTTCTAGTTGAACTGTGTAAGCTATATGCAATTTGTTTAATTATAGGAATAATAGGACTTAATGACATTAAGTAGAATGTCTTTTTGCATCTGCAATGAA